CACCAATAACAATACTCTTACATCACCGGGTTGATCATCAACAAATTAGACACTCATAATTGCCATATTGCCTTCGGGCACCTTTCCTTACGAAATAACTGCTCACTCAATGCATTGTCACCTTGTACAGGCACTATTAATACCATTGCCACGCAAAATAGCGACTACATCCGCAATAAATGTGCATAGTAAAACAAGTATTCCTTTACGTCATCAACAAATACCTCATTGAGAAGAATCAGCAAAATCTCAACGTTTGATCTCGAATTCGAATTTTGCCATCTGCTTCGCTAGAACGAAACGGAAACATCTTCTATATCCAGCAACACGAAAAACGTCATCAAGTACGAACACACACATATATTGAACCAGCTTTTACTTAACCATGTTACGTTAAATCTCAAGAGTCAAATTGATCATCATAAAATAAGTACAACACGGTGACATGATATTTGAATTCTATAACAAACAATATGAAGATGTTTTGCAAAGATCACATCTCTTTCACTTCCTTGTCGCCTCCGTTATCAAAGTGAGAGGGAAAGTATTATGACAAGAATTAACTATTGCGTGACGTGTGTTAATCTCTCTCTTGTCCGTTCTAGTGTGTCCACTACAAATGATGAGTCGACCTTTTCATTTCGATATCATTCACTCATAAACGGAAGCATTCTTCTCTTTTATCTAGCGATCTTTTATAAACTTCAAATAGCAGAACAAGAAAGTCGATGATTAATGAGTGATGTTTGAAGTAGAAACATTGAATACAAAAACTGTATTTGAACATTATTTGATTTATTTAAAAAAGATGAGTTTAATACACGTGGACATTTAGATCATCGCCGTTTTCTTTTATATTGTCATATCGAACGATGTGTCTGTATTTAAATTTTAAAACAAATTTTCAACATTGGTTGAACATGAAGATAAACGATTGTGTATATTTTAGCCCAGACGGAGCTTTCATCACAACCGATTATCACTTGTATTTAGAAGGCGTCACAGCGATTTACTGAGCGGAATACTGCTCTGTAAACCAGTTTACAAAAGACGGTTGATCAATAGTTGAAAGGTGTAGATTAAAATCTCTTATCAACCTCGCTCTGTGCTGCTCAGTTAACACTTTCTGTTTTTCCCAGATAGTCATAGGAGACTGCCTAAGTAGATGCAACTTTCTACCGGAGAAAACTACAGTATAGATTACTTTTATATTAAGTTCAATCGCATGCCCCACGGTTATTAACATCAACTTCCGAAAACGCTCTGGAGACAACCAGTAAACATGAGCGCTTCACATATGTAATATCAAATTACAACCTTACAATGACATCAATACAAACCACTTGAATCCAGAAGCAGAGTTCTGTTTGATTTACACTCCCGGCTGAAAGACTTTCAATCAAAGTTCGCCTTTTGGTTCAATGATTTTTATTTATAGTGCGATCATTAAACAGCTGATCGATTTTTTGGCATATTGCCCTTAACCAATCAATCGTGGATAGACGAAAACAGCTGATCTCATATGTTCCGCGTTTGTACCGATATTTACACGTTGGAGAAGCAAAAAAGAACCACATTTTCATTGGACGAAAAGTATTTTGACAGTGTACATGTACATATGTATCTATGTATGTATGTATGTAGAGAGAGAAAGAAAAGTGAACTACTCATATCATTTTAAAGTAGCTGAGATGACATATTCGCTGGCAGAAAACACAACTGGAATGATGTTTACAGATGAGTTGCGATTATTTGATCAGAAAATATTTTCAATGTATACCAATGAAGATGATGAATATGTGCATGCAAATAGAGACGCAAAACTATGTTCGGATACCGATATTTTACAGACAATGTTAGCCGAAGAAGACGAATTATGTTATCATGATGTTTTGACAAGTGAACTTCCATCAATTACATATCAAACTATGTCACAGGTATGTTGTACAATTAACACTTGCCTGTTGTATTGTCAAGAGCCACCATCTCTCTCTCTCTCGCTAGATCAATGCGTTGTTGAATTGCTCTGTGTCCGTATGTTGGATGTCAAATGTGGTAATGAAACGATATTGTCTGATGAAAACGCTAGGTGAACCCGACATATCATTGATTTGTGCCTGTGTAACACTTTGTGGCAAATATCAAGATTCAACGGAACCAAAATATGAACATTTGGCCATGCATTGCCAGACCACAGTCGAACAAATTCATATTTGTGAAATTCACCTGTTAGAAACATTATCATGGGATCTCTGTGTTTATACGCCGTCTGATTATCTATCTGTTTTATACAATTCGTTGCTGGCAGATGAAGATGAAGTATGGTGTACGATGAAAAATTTACTGAATGTTGCCAATAATATCCTTTTATTCCTTTATCAAACAGGTACGAAGTCGAGAGTAACATGTTCACTAAACTAACCATTATCTATAATTTAGAAATATCACTGTTGTCGACATATCCCAATAGCATTTTAGCACTTTCACTACTATTGATATTATCTTTATCATCAAGAGATAACGAAAAAGTCGTTGTTTTAAAACAAATGCAAATGTTTTTGAAACATAAAAAGTCACCACAACAATATAAAGTAGGTTTGAAGCAGGTGACATCAAAGGATGATGCATGTGATATATGATCGTGTTTATTTTTCGAACATTATGATTATATAATGTATGTTGTCTCGTTTTAGAATCAACTATTTGCTTGTTGCACAGAACTTCAAAGTCTACGGATGTGCGTATAAACAGAAGAGACATGAACAGGATCGCTTTCAATCGAAACTATTCAATGAACAGTAATATTACATGTATATATATATATATATTATTCATCTTGGACATTGAACATTACCGATGCTTTTTGACTCAGCTTTCGATAAAGTATATGAAGCTTTACCATGTTCTGGAGAATATCTTAATTTTTGTTATTTATTTTTTGTATTAATAAAAAATGCCGGTATAAATTCATGCCGTTGATGATGCGAGGAGTAGAATCTTATAAAATGAATCTTATAGTTTGACAACGAAAAGTGTTATTAAAGCACAACCGTACTATTTACGAATTTTGA